ACCGGGATTCGAACCCGAGACCTTCGCTCTGATACCATGTCAGAATCCCAGCCACTAACCACTGGGATAAAAGGGCTTGTTTGTGTAGCGGGTGAGTGCGCCCATAACCCCCCAGGCCAACGTGCCTGTAACCCTTCCCTAGGATCAATCGGGGATCACCAGTGGACCTCTGACAAACTACGCCGCCCCGGCGACCGGGGCAGCGGGGTCAGCCTGGCGGCGGTGGTAGCAGTGGCGGGAAGCCAGGGAGGGACGCCGACAAGACGAAGTCGGCCAAGGACGACGGTCGCGGAGGGGGAGGTCGGCGTTGGGAGCGCTGGATCTGTCACAGCCCCGACCACCTCTCCTCTGAGTGGCCCGACCGAAGTGAGTCCGACGACGACGACGCCAAGGGAGGCCGTGGAAGGTCGGCCAGCCGTCGTCCACGTCGGGGAAGCAGGCCGCACAAGGAGAAGCAGTCGAACAAGTCGACCTCGGCGAAGGACGCCGACTCCTCTGCTAGCGGCAAGGGGCGAGGCGACGGGGAGGCGTCGTGCTCGCTGGTCGGCGTCGTGGAGCCGACCGTCTCGTTGGCGCCGGAGGCCGGTGAGGATTTCCAGGCGGTGGCAGCAGCCGTGCTGGCAAACCCGACGGTGGTCCTGCTAGACAGCGGCTGCTCCCACCACCTGATGGGGACGAAGGAGGTCTTCGTCGACATGTTGCCGAGCGGCGATGTTAAACACGTGCGCGGCTTCGATGGGGCACTACAGGACGTCAAGGGACAGGGCACGGTTGCGCTGCAAGGGGAGGCCGGGAAGCGGGTGCTCATCCCCGACGTGCTGTACGTCCCAGGCGTGCACGCGAAACTGCTGTCGGCTGGTCAGCTGAAGGAGAACGGCGTGAAGCTGCAGGATGACGGAGACGGGATGTTGCTCATCTCGGCGACCGGTGACGTCCTCGGTCGAGCAACGTACTTCGGTCGGGTCCTCTGCACCAACCTGCGTCCCTGCCCGGCGACGACTGCGGAGGAGGAAGTAGCCCTACAGGCGATTGTCTCGGCGACGAAGGCGACGCCGGACAGGCTGCACGCGAGGCTCGCGCACGTCGGCATGGACACCATCCGGAGCTCGGCGAAGCACGAGGTTGCCACCGGGCTGGACCTCAAGTCGGCGTCCGGTGCTGCCTCGCCTTGCGTCTCGTGCGTCGGCGGGAAGCTGGCGCGGCACTCCTTCCCCGACAAGGGCTCGGACGCCGAGGACGCCCTGGCCGTCGTGCACATCGACCTGTGCGGGCCGTTTCGGGTGGCCGCCAAGGATGGCAGCCTGTACTTCCTGCTGCTGAAGGACCGCAAGACCCGCTACGTGTGGGTGAAGCCGGTCGCCAGGAAGTCCGACGTACTACGGGAGTTCGCGCAGTGGCTAGTGTTGGTTGAGCGGCAGGCAAAGAAGTCGGTGCTGCAACTGCGATCTGACCGGGGAGGGGAGTTCCTCATGAAGGACTTCACCACCTTCGTGGACGGCAAGGGAATTGTCCACGACCTGAACTACCCGTACACCTCGCAACAGAACGGCATGGCGGAGCGGGAGATGAGGACGGTGGTGGAGTCGGTGCGGACAATGCTGTTGCACATGGGCGTGCAGCACCACTGGTGGCACCTCGCTCTGCGGCAGGCCGTCTGGATCCGCAACTGCCTTGAGCGGTCGTCGCTGCCGCCGGGGACGACGCCGTACCAGCTGCTCACCGGGAAGAAGCCCAACTTATCGCTGGCACGCGTGTGGGGCTGCATGGTGCAGTTCCTCGTCCCCGAACAGCAGCGCAGTGGGAAGCTGAAGCCGAGGGCCAAGTGGGGCCTACATCTCGGCGTTTCGGCGGAGAGCAAGGGCTGGGAACTCCTTGACCTCACCGTCAACCGGGTGGTCACCACGTCGGACGTGGTATTCTACGAGTCGTTGTCACTGGAGGTGTGGAAGTCCCAGCACTGGCCGGTGTCGGAGCAGACGCCGGCCAACCTGCCGACGGACACCTCCACGGCGACACTCCCTCTGCTCGCCGAGGTCGGTGAGCCTGCTGAAGAGGACGCCGAGGGAGTCTTCTCTTCTCCCCCTACCCCTGCCATCCCCCCTCCCGTGGTCGTTTTGCATGCGCCGGCGCCGACGTTGGCCTCCGGCGATGAGGGGAGTAGTGGGGCGTCGCCTGTGGCGCCGGCCAAAAGCATCGCCGGTGGCCAAAGTGGCGTTCAACCCGGTGGCCAAAGTGGCGTTCAACACGGCGGGGAAGCAGAGCCACTGCCGGCAGGGGAGCAGCCGGCCAAAATGCAGCCGGTGAAGTCGGCAAAGGGAAGTCTGCAGAGAAGACGCCGACAGGGGAGCAGAGGGCGGTAAAGCCGACTGGGGAGCTGTTGAACGGAGAAGTCGGCTGCGACGCCGGCTTTGTTGCAGCCGGACGCCGAGGACAGTGCAGCCGACAGCGACGTAGTGGAGGTCAAGCCTGGGACACGGCGTACAGGCCGAATTCGGAGGCCGCCCGATTTCTACGTCCCGGCCGCCTTCACCACGGCGTATGACATCGACGATGACGACCTGGCGTACGATGACGCCGAGGACGACGAGGAGTTTCCGGAGCTCGACCCCGACATGCACGCCGACCCCGAGCACCGCTGGGACATCGCGACGATGACAGTGAAGGAGGCATTGGCAAGCTGGAAGGGCAAGGCAGTCAAGGCCGCCATGGACGTGGAGATACGGAGCCTCATCGCGAACGACACGTGGGAGCTCGTTGAGCGGCCTCCCGGCGTCAACATCATGAAGAACCGGTGGGTGCTGACTACGAAGTACCGCATCGACGACACCGTCGAGCGCGAGAAGGCGAGGCTGGTCGTGAAAGGCTTCACGCAGGTGTATGTCGCCAACTACGACGAGACGTATGCGCCGGTGAGCAACTTCGTCACGCTGAGGATCTTCCTCAGCATCGTCGCCGTCCTCGACCTCAACCTGATGCAGCTGGACATGAAGAACGCCTTCCTGCAGAGCAAGCTCGACCGCGTGCTCTACATGTACCAGCCGGACTACTTCAACGACGGGACCGGCCGGGTGTGCAAGCTGCTGAAGAGCCTTTACGGGCTGAAGCAGTCGCCGCTGTTGTGGTACAAGGCGCTCAACGACGTGCTGGTCGGCGCCGGGTGGAAGAAGAGCCAGGTCGACGAAGCTCTCTACTTCAAGGTCGGCGACGACGGTGTGGCCTGCTGGGTGCTGGTCTACGTCGACGACCTGCTCGCCGCCAGCAGCAGCACCGTGATGCTGAAGGAGCTGAAGGAGCTGCTGGAGGCCGCCTTCAAGCTGCGCGAGATCTCGCCAGTGCAGAAGTACCTCGGCCTGGAGATCGTGCGCGACAGGCCGGCGAGGAAGCTATGGCTGCACCAGCAGGGCTACGCCGACAAGCTGTGTAGGCGCTTCATCGACGAGGAGCAGGGCGGTCGGACCCCGAAGACGCCGGTCTCCGTCGACGCCTACGCTGAGCTCACCTTCGACGACGAGGAGGCATAGGAGCGCCAGGAGGAGGAGTACCGGCAGAAAGTCGGCTCGCTGCAGTTCGCGGCGACGACGACGAGGCCGGACATCGCCTTCACCTGCAGCAAGCTGGGGAGCGGCCTCACGGTGAGGAGCGACCAACACTGGCGCGAGGTCGACCGCTGCCTCGCCTACCTCGCCAACACGCGCGACACCGCCCTGGAGTTCGGCGGTGGTCCGGAGTCGCTGGAGCTGGTCGGCTACGTGGACGCCGACGACGCCGGCGACAAGCAGAACCAAACGAGCACAGGCGGCTATGTGTTCGTCTACGGAGGGGCCGCAGTCTCCTGGTCGAGCCAGCGCATCAAGTGCGCGACGCTGTCGTCGACCGAGTCGGCAGCAACAGAAGCCGGGAAGGAAGGACGCCGACTTCGCTTCCTCCTGGCAGAGTTTCGGCAACTGGACGCCGGGAAGCCGACTGTCCTTCGGGTGGACAACAAGTCGGCCATCACAGTCGCCGGGGGCATGGGGTTGGCGGTCAACCTCAAGCACATGGAGCGACGTCAGGCCTGGCTGCAGCACATGGTGAAGCGCGGGAAGTTCACGTTGAGGTACATCCCGACCACCGAGCAGCCGGCCGACTTCCTGACAAAGGCGCTGCACTACCCGGCCTTCAACCGGTGCTCCGTCGCGATCGGCCAAGTGCGCCTGGCCGAAGTCGGCGACGGCGACAACGACGTGCAGCAGTAGGTGCCATGCCCTTTTGCATGGCTGGTGCGGTGTCTGGTGTGCTGTGTGTTGTGTGCACGCCGCCGAGCTATTCTCCGAGCAGTGCTGCCGTGTGGGCTGGGTGCTCAAGCGTGAACGCGGCAGGGGAGTGTCAACGGGAGTTGTGTTTGGCCCCGTCCTCGCTTGGGCGGAGCCGATCTCGTGGTCGGGTGTGCGGGGGATGCAGCCGACCTGCAGCAGTGGGTACGGGGGGCGCCTGGCTGGAGGGCGCCGAACAGGTGGACGCCGTCCTTGGCGTCTGGGCGGCGTCCTGGGCGTCTGCTCGGCGTCCTGGACGCCTGGACGGCGTCCTGGGCGCCTGGACGCCGTCCTGGGCGCCTGGACGCCGACCTGGGCGTCTGCTCAGCATGTGAGAAAAACGAGCGCACCAACCAGCTGCACGCACCTGCGAAGCAGATGCACCGTTGTCCTGCGGGTGCAACGCTGTGCAGCCGACCTGCTGCAGCGTTGGCACACCGCAGACTTGCGACGTTGGCAAGCCGCTACTTTGCTGCGCTGGAGCGGTGCGAGCTCTGCTGCGCTGGACCGCGGTCGACCATGCTGCGCTGGAAGTCGACCAGCAGCTGTGCTAGCTCTGATGTAGCCTTGCATGCCAATGTTGTTGCCATCATTCTGAACCTGATTGTTGTGAACTTTTGCTAGTGGAACTCTTGCCAAATTTCCCCGTGAATGCGCAAGTAGTGTGAACACAGGCAAACGACTAAGGAACGAACGCAGAGATCACTCCTACCCCGTGCCTAGCCCGTAGTCTAGCTCCCGTTGACAGAGTTATCTCCGCATACCCGATGAACATCTCACATGCTGCGCAGGCCGTGCGATGCGCTTCGCGGGTCGCCAAGTTGTCGTCGTTGTAGACGGCCTCCATGGTCGCCGGCTCTTCCCAAGACGTAGCCGAATACGCCGTCGCGAGCTCGAGAGAGAGAGGAACCTCGCCCAGTTTGGCGCATGTCGGGTGCCCGACGTCAATTGCGACAAAGTTGGCGGCCGGCATCGCGCTTGGCCCAAGGCCAAGACGGTCGATGAGAATCCCCACGTCATCGATCTCGCCATTGAGATCGATGGCGAGCGGGGCCACACCGCCGCCACCTGCTGTGAGGCCCTCGGCGCCCACGTGGGACAGAGACAAAGCCCACGTGACGTGGAGACACCCCATGCGCCACCAGCACCTCTGAATCCTGCGCACGCCGATGTTCATCCAGGCGTCCAGCAGCCACGCAAGGACGTCGCGGAGGTTTGGCTTGTAGCGCGCGAGAGCCGTTGTGGCGCCGCCCTCCACCCACAGCGCGAGGACCACCTCAAGCCAATGCTGGTGGTACCGGGCCTTCATCATGGCGATGATGCCCTGATCCAGCGGTTGAGTAAAGCAGGTGGTGTTCGGCGGAAGGAACACCAGCCTGATGTTACTAAGAGACCGGATGCGGAAGCCGAACAAGTCCTCGGTCTCGGCGCCCTCGGTCTTGAGCACGTGGCTCGAGGCGTTGTTAAGCAAGATGACGATGCTTCGATCCTCGGCGAACACCGCTGCATTCAATTGCTCCATAAAGTGCGTGAAGAGCTGCGCATACGAAGAGAAACACTGAAGGGGAAGAGATGACGCTGTGAGAACGTGTGTTTTGATCAAGGGAGGGAATACACACACCACAATCAAAATAGCAATAACGACAAATCAAACCACACAATATACATTTACCGGAGCGGTCATCCACTCCTTCGCGTTATTGCACTAGTAGCATAGTGCGTCGGGGTCGAAATCGGGGGGGAAATCATACGGCCTCTTCGACTTTGAAATGACGAGCGGGCGGAAGGCATGGCTCCCGTCCGCGTTCACGAGAAGGCCGACGGTGAGCCTTTCCTTCGCGATTTCACGCCCAGCCACACGCACATGCGCGTATGTCTTCCGCGGCAGGACCGAGAGCCACAATGCGGTCTCGTCGAAGTTGTAGACGTCGCGCAGCGAGAAGGAGAGGTGCATGAGGAGCTGCGGGAGCTTCTCCTTGCAGGTGCGCACGACTGCCATATCTTGATCCGCCACTTTGCCAGCCGCGCTGTGGCACCGGATGCCATTGCGCCGTAGTGCGCGCCGAACCCATCCCACGGAGCATCGGAAGGACAGGGGCTTTCCCAGGTCGCGTGCGATGACGGCGACGTGGTCGCGGATCGTCTGCAGCGTGAGCGGGATTCCCGCCGGGCCGGCGTTCAAGATCCAGCGCACCATTGCGCTCTCGAGGTCGGGGTGAGCTCCGCCACGCACACGGATGGGGTTGTTGGATGCAGACGAGGCGCGCCATCATTCCGCGCCCTTCAAAAGCCGACCGATAGTGGGTCGGTCGGGACGGATTCCGTAACGAGTCAAACACCAGCGCGTCAGATCTACCTGGCACATGAGGGGGTTCTGCACATGCTGCACGCATATCGCATTCTTGATATACACTGGTGGCTGGGTGCGGCGGAATAGGCGAGGCATTGTTAGAGACTTATGTGGGTGGAGACTATGAATGACGAGAAGGGAAGCTCATCATTTTATCATCGGTTGGTGCTTTAGACCAATAAAACAGAAGGCAATACAGAAGGCAATTCAGACCAATAAAACTCGCTATTAGCGAGCCAATTGAAGGGGCGGTTTGGCAATGACGAAGTTGCTGTTTGCAGTTAGGTCACGTGGGGTATGTGGGTCTTTCCACCAGGTCCTCAGATTCGTTTTGGGCCACGCTTTGTCGTCAGTGTTGGTCCTTAGAAATTAACTTTCTATCAGGGTCCCTTAGAAAAAAAACCCTGAAAATCAGTGTTGTCAGCAGGAAAAATGCTTTCTACCAATTTTTTCATGTACTTCTACTGTGCAGCCTCCAGTGGTCCAGTCAGTATAATTGGAACTCGTAAAGATTGAGGATTCGAGTTCGAAACTCGTCGGCTAATGCTGCCAACGTCAGTCATTGGCCCTGTTTTACAGGCAAACGGCCACGGCGTGGAAACGGCCGCACGGGAAGCCTCGTACAGGTTTCTGCTTAGACTCGTCATGCCTCCCACCACGCGAAAGCCCACCCAGTTGTACATGAAATTTCTACCCGCCCAGACGCGTGGGTCCGCCCTCCTCGTTACGGAGGAGGGTGTAGTTCCTCTTGAATTGCACATAGTTACCGTCTGTATAGGGGCTTTTGTCCAAACAAAAAACGTCCGTGGGGTCCAAACCCTAGGGATTCTTCGACACTTGGTGGTCCAGACCACAATTCGAAGGTCAGGTCCATCCAAAACCTGTGTTTTCCCCGTCACTTGGATTGAATGCTCAAACTTGGGCTTTCTTGAATGTTCGACCCATCACCACCCAGAATCAGGAGGGGTTTGGCTTACGGAGTTGTAGTTGGTTTGGAGGGCAGAGCACAGGTTACACCACGACAATTTGTTAAACATATGTGTATTATTATATAAACTGTTAGCTGTAGTTACTGTAGTGTTTGTGGTATTTCTTGTTGGTGGTGCACCTCCCTTGTTTCCTATTTGTACCTTGCTCAATAGTGACACCATCCTCTTTTGGCTAGAATCTCTCGACATGTTGCTCTCTAGCCCACTCCTACCTCAAACCCTAGTCTTAACTTAAGCTACTGCTTTGACATGCTATCAGAGCGAGAACGCTCCTGGCCTGTGGGCCCACCTGCTTCCGCTGCTGCTGTACTGCCTGTCGCGCGCCCCGTGGTGCGCGACGTTTTTTCTTCCCGCCACGCGCTCGGGGCGCGTGGCGGTTTTCTGCCCGTCATGAGTTCGGGGTGCGCGACGGTTTCCCGATCCGTCGCGGCGCCCCTTAGGGACCCCCCCCCCCCCCCCCCCCCCCCCCCCCCCCCCCCCCCGTCGTCCGTCGCGGCGCCCTCGGGGACCAGCGCGCGGCCTCCCGTCGCCCGTCGCGGCGCCCTCCTTCGGGGACCCGCGCGCTCCCTCCCGTCGCCCGTCGCGGCGCCACCAGGGACCAACGCGCGGCCCCCCGTCGCCCGTCGCGACGCCACCGGGGAACAGCGCGCCGCCTCCCGTCGCCCGTCGCGGCGCCCCCGGGGACCTGCGCGCTGCCCCCCGTCGTCCGTCGCGGCGCCCCCAGGGACCCGCGCGCCACCCCTTGACCCCGAGCGTCGCGGGGCTGCTTCCCCCCCAGCCCCTCCCCTTTCCCCTTCCTCTCCCTCCTGCGCGTGCGGCTATGGGGGTGGCGGGTATGGGGGTGGCGGGTGTGTGAGCCGTCCCCTGCTCCTCCTCCTCCTCCGTCTCCCACTGCTGCAGCTGCCGCTGAGGGGGGTGGGTGTGTGGGAGCCGAGGGAGTGGCGCTAGGGGGTGTCGTGGAAGTGGAGCTAGGTGTGTGAAAGGGGTGTGGGACTGTTGGGAGAGGTTGAGCGGAGGTAGCCGTCGTGACGTCAGCAGCGCCAGTAGTCCGGGGCCCTTGCTCCGGTAGCCCAGCGAGCCTGCTGCGCCAGTCGCCCGTGGGTCCGTTGCTCCTGCCGCTCGTCGTAGCCGCGGAGCCAGTTACTCCTGTAGTCCGGGGCCCTTGCTCCGGTAGCCACCGTGCGCGCCGCTCCTGTTGCCCGTGTGTCTGCGGCTTCAACCGTCTCCTCCTATCTTTACTCCTCTCACAGTCCCTCCTCCTCCTCACTTGCCCTCTTCTTCTGCTGCGCCTGGTGTACCGCTTCAGGGGGTGTCCTTGTACTGGTTCCTGCAGCTAACAGTTTAGGGGGTGTGTTAAACTTATGTTTATTATATAAACTGTTAGCTGTAGTTACTGTAGTGTTTGTAGTATTTCCTGTTGGTGGTGCACCTCCCTTGTTTCCTATTTGTACCTTGCTCAATACTGATACCATCCTCTTTTGGCTAGAATCTCTCGACATGTTGCTCTCTAGCCCACTCCTACCTCAAACCCTAGTCTTAACTTAAGCTACTGATTTGACACAGTTGTATCCGTATGGATGCCATTTTGCTTCCCGTGAAAAGGAGGTATCCCTTGGCAACCATACGGAAACAAAAATTGCTAGAGAGAGAAGATGGGTACTCACCTTCCGTCTACATGTTTCCGTTTCCACACTGCACGATGTTCTGCAGCCACAAGTTTCCGTTAGGTCCGGATGGAAACAAGCAGGGGTATGACACCATTTTCGGGCTGACCAAGCGATCGAACCTGAATTGACTGTAGACGGAAGCAACCAAGAGGATTCTAAAAACGGAAACCGATGCCTGTAGAACAGGGCCATTCTACTTGTCGGCTGAAAATGTTAGTGAAAATTTTGCCATTTCGTAAATCTACGCAATTTCGTGTCAGAATCCCAGCCACTAACCACTGGGATAAAAGGGCTTGTTTGTGTAGCAGGTGAGTGCGCCCATAACCCCCCAGGCTGTCAACAAGACTAGGCAAGAATGATTGAAAGGAGAGGGGTTTCACTAGCAGCAGTTGGGGTACATATAGCAAACCCTAACTGGGTTGTACTCGCTATAGAGCACCCCACTACAGGCTAGACAATAATAACATTCTGACACACCCCCATAGCCAAAGTGGGATGTAATCAGTACAATGAGCAGGCATAGCAATAGTTCACAATTATAAGCAAAGCTAGAGGTGATCATAGAGGGCAAGTGAGGAGGAGGAGAAACTGTGAGGGCGAGAAGATGAAAGGCGCCGACTGAAGCTGCAGACACACGGGCAACAGGAGCGGCGCGCACAGTGGCTACCGAGCGCACGAGGGCACCGGACTACGGGAGTATCTGGCTCCGCGGCTACGACGAGCACACACAGGAGCAACGGACCCACAGGCGACTGGCGAAGCAGGCTCGCTGGGCTACCGAAACGCGCGAGGGCATCCGGACTACTGGCGCTGCTGGCGTCACGACGGCTACCTCCACGCAACCTCCCCCGACCGTCCCACGCCCCTCTCACACACCCCCTGCTGACACCCTAGCTCCACTTCCACGGCACCCCCCTTAAACCCTAAACCCTCGGCTCCCACACACCCACCCCCCTCAGCGGCAGCTGCAGCAGTGGGAGACGGAGGAGGAGGAGGAGCCGCAGGTTACCCACACCGGTCACCCCCATGCCCGCCACCCCCAAACCCTAACGCAGGCAGGAGCGCGGGAAACAGCAGGGGCGGGGCACGGAGGGAAAGGGAGGCAGCGGGGTGGCTCTTGGGCGCCACGAAGAAGCAGGGCGCGGGCCCCCCGAGGGCGCCACGGCGGGTGACGGGAGGGGGGCCGCGCACGGGCCCCCGAGGGCGGCTCGACGGGCGACGGGAGGGGCCGCGCGCGGGCCCCCTAGGCGCCGCGACGAGGCGACGGGAGGGGGCGGCGCGCGGGCCCCCAAGGTGCCGACGGGAGGGGGGGGACGCGCGGGCCCCCAGGGCGCCGCGACGAGGCGACGGGAGGAGGACGACGGGGGGCAGCGCGCAGGTCCCCGGGGGCGCCACGACGGGCAGGAAACCGCCGCGCGCCTCGGGGCGCACGGCGGGATGAAAAACCCTAAAATTTTTCGCCGTGCGCGGAGCGCGCGGCAGGAAGAAGACGGCGCGCGCCCGAGGCGTGCGAGAAGCAGAATAGCAGCGGAAGCAGTTAGGTGGCGGGCCCACCCACAGGATCGACCCAAGGGGGTCGACCTGCTCTGATAGCATGTCAACAAGACTAGGCAAGAATGATTGAAAGGAGAGGGGTTTCACTAGCAGCAGTTGGGGTACATATAGCAAACCCTAACTGGGTTGTACTCGCTATAGAGCACCCCACTACAGGCTAGACAATAATAACATTCTGACACAGGCCAACGTGCCTGTAACTCTTCCCTAGGATCAATCGGGGATCACCAGTGGACCTCTGACATTTCGGCAAAGTATAACCTCGCTATAGTGGGATTCGAATTAGGGCCCCCTGGTAATGGTTGGCTGTATCAAAAGAACTAGGCAAGAATGATGCATTGAATGAAACAGTTGGGTACAAGTAGCAAACCCTAGTTGGGGTTGTACCCCATATTGGCTACCCCACTACAGCCTACCAACATATAACACATTACAATTTAACACACCCCCATAGGCAAAGTGGGGGAGAACAAAGGGTCACAAGACCAGTCCAGCAAAGCAACGCAAGCCCAGGGTGGATCACAAAGTCACCACACTCCGAGCACAAGCAAAGGCCACAAGGCCAGTTCACATGCAGTGCTAGATATAGTACAAGACAAGCAACAAGATATATATAAAGTACAGTACAAAGAATGTCAAGCAGTGAGCAAGTGAGGAAACGTGGACACAAGGCCTAAAGAAGTACAGTGCCGCTGATGATCACTAGGCGGGAGCGCCTTGGTGAAGATATCAGCAGTGTTGGCCTTCGAGTCCACGTACACAAGCCGAAGCTGACCTCGCTGCTGCAGCTCTCGAGCAAGAAAGTAGCGAAGAGCAATATGCTTCGTCCTGTGCTCCAGTCTGTGCTCCTGACACAAGGCAAGGGCCGCCTTGTTGTCGCCGTACAGAACTGGAGGAGAACTAGGCCGCTCTCCCAAGTCAGTCAGCAGGTAGGTGAGCCAACGTAACTCCTGTGCAGCCATGGCCGTGGCGTAGATCTCAGCCTCACAACTAGAGCTGAGAACAGAAGAAGAACGGGTGGACCGCCACGAGACAGAACCAGAGCCAAGGCTGAAGGTGTAACCCTGCGACGACCGCTGCGTAGCCAAGTCGTCCACCCAAGAAGCGTCCGAGTGACCAGTGAGAACAACTCTGTCGTGTCCTCCAAGCACCAGCCCCATGCCTGATGTACTGCACAAGTAACGCAGCACCCTCTTAGCAGCCTCCCAGTGCTCTCGCCTGTGTCTCCCAGGCGCAACGTAACGAGCAAGGATGCTAAGAGGGTACGCGAGGTCAGGTCGTGTGCAAGTCATCAGGTACATGAGGCAGCCTACAAGCTCTGGGTATGGGCCACTCGGCTCTATGGAGTCGTCCGAAGGTGGAGCTGAGAGCAAGTGGCTGGTAGCCAGAGGTGTGGCATGTGGTGAGGAGAACTGGAAGCCGAAGCGCTGAAGGACCTGCTGCACCATGTGTGACTGAGTCAGGGTGATGGTGCGGCGAGCTCTGTCCCGGGTGATCTGCAAGCCAAGGTAGCTACGCAGTTCACCCAGGTCAGTGCAGGTGTGTCTCTTCTGCAGCTCCGACTTCACACGAGCGAGTGCCTCAGTGTCAGCAGTAGCAAAGACCAAGTCGTCGACGTACACGAGAATGTAGAACGGCGGCAGCGACGTGTCTGTGCGCAGAAACAGCGACGGGTCAGCAGTAGACGGCGCGAACCCAAGAGCCGCAAGTGTAGTCCTCAGTGTGTCGTGCCACTCACGTGGCGCCTGGCGGAGACCGTAGACTGGCCGGCGGAGGCTCCACTGGGTACCAGGAGGAAACGACCCAGTGAAGCCAGGTGGGCGGCGCAGCCAGATCTCCTCGTGCAGGCTGCCCTGCAGGAACGCTGTGCTGAAGTCAAGAGAGTGAAGCTCGTAGTCACGCTGAGCAGCAACGTGCAGCAGAACCCGAAGAGTGGTCATCTTCGGGGTGGGGGAGAAGGTCTGGAAGAAGTCAACCCCCTGACGCTGACTGAAGCCTCTAGCAACGTAACGAGCCTTGAAGACAGGCGGAGAACCTGGCGGCCGCTTCACCCTGAAAATCCACATGCCATCGACGATGTTCGCCCCAGGAGGAGGAACCTCGTCGACGTAGGTGCCTGTGGACTTCCAGGATGCCATCTCTGCGTCCATGGCTGTCTGCCACTGAGAGGAGTAGGGACCCGAGATCGCCTCTGCGTAAGTGCGCGGAGTGGGGATGTCTAGTGCATCCGGGTCTCCCTCAGGGGCAAGCAACCAGGCCACGAGATGAGGTACAGCAGCCGCGAGAGAGTCAAAGTCCTCCTGCCTGTCCTCAAGGACGTCCGTGCCAAGAGCACACTCACCCCCGACGGACGGAGGACAGACAGACGCAGACTCAGACTCAGCAACAAGGCTAGCAGCGTAGTCTAGACGACAGGCAGCAGCAAAGTCAACCAACTCAGCGACCAGAGCAGACGCAGCCGAGGACTCAAATGTAGGGTCAGTGACAACAGTAGCGAGGAGACGCGTGACAGTAGGGTGCTCAGCACGATACCGGTCAGACTCAGGGTCCGGAACGGCAGGCAAAGAGGACGCAGGAGGAGACGGTAGAGGGACATGCTGAGGAGCAGTAGATGGACGCAGAGTCATGTAGTGAGTGCCGGGGACAGGAGGAGGACGCTCACGACGGACACGACGACCAGTGCGAGCAGTACGAACAGGCGACGCAGGACGAGACTCAGGCTCACGACGCTCTGTAAGACCTCCTGTGGGACCAGTGTAAGGAGAGGGAGCAGGGAGAGGCGAGGTAGGCGGTAACTGTGACTGCGGCTGGACAGGCGGAGGACAGTCTACGGAGGGAGGAGGACAAGGAGGAGGAGCCTGCCCAAGAACCTGCTGAAGGAGCGGTACGAAGTACGGTCGCGGCCGCGCAGCGTCTCCAGAAGCAGAAGAGACTCCAGCGTCCGGGTCCCCAGCACCAGCAGCAGCGCCACCGCTCGGGTCCTCAGCTCCAGCAGCAGCTCCAACGTCCGAGTCCTCAGCATTAGCAGCAGCCCCACCAGGTGGGTCCGCAGCACCAGCAGTAGCGCCACCCCGAGGGTCCGCAGCACCGCTAGGAAGAGCACCCCCAGAGTCGGCAGCTCCAACTCCGCTAGTACCGCCAGCTCCAGAGGCCCCAGCTCCAGCAGCTCCAGTCGTAGTGCTCCCAGAACAACCAGTCCCGGCAGCTCCAGCACCCCCAGTACGAGCACCCCCAGGACGAGCAGCTCCAGCACCCCCAACTCCAGCCGAGCCACCAGGACGGCGAAAGCGCCGGACGTACCAGTCACGAAGCTGCTGCGGTGTGAGAGACTGCTCAGCACCCCGAACCGGAGCACCCCCAGACGCAGCAACCCGAGGCTCCGTAGGCTCAGTAGCAGCACCCCCAGGCTCAGTACCCGTAGGCACAGCACTCCCAGTCACAGTACCCCCAGGCGCAGCACCCCCAGGCGCCGAACTCCCAGACGCAGCAACCCCAGGCTCCGTAGGCTCAGTAGCAGCACCCCCAGGCTCAGTACCCTCAGGCGCAGTACCCCCAGGCTCAGCACCCCCAGGCGCCGAACTCCCAGGCACAGTACCCTCAGCTCCAGCACCCGCAGTCCCAGCACTCCCAGGCCCAGCACCCGCAGGCTCAGCACCCCCAGGCTCAGCACTCCCAGCAGCACCACCTGCAGCAGCACCTGAGTCACCTGTGACCTCGACAGGCTCAGCGACGGGAGGAGGGTCTACCTGAGAGACACCTGAAGGAGCAGGACCCTGAGGGGGAAGGGGGTCTACCGGAGGGGGACCAGGAGCAAGGAAAAGCGGCGGGGGAGGGAGGGGGGCAGTGCGGTAGGGGAAGAGACGGTAAAAAGGGACCGACTCGTCAAAGGTGACGTCCTGAGAGGCGAAGACCCGGCGCGAGGTGGGGTGGTAAAACTGCCAGCCCGGCGCGTCAGGGACAAAGCCAAGGAAGACACAGGGAAGTGTGCGGGAGGAGAGCTTGTCCGCGGACGTATCGCGGACAAGGGCACGAGCACCCCACACCCGGAAGCGCGACGCATCGCCAACCTCCCCCGTCCAACGCAGTGTGGGAGAGGTCTCCGGCAAGGAGACACGGGGCCAGAGGTTGAGCTGATGCGCGGCGTACCGGACAGCAAACGGCCACAGAAAATGGGGAGCCGCCGCGTGGACCAAGGAGGTACGAGCGACCTCCATGACCAGGCCAATGCGGCGCTCAGCAACCCCATTCTGCTGTGGGGAGTCCGGAAGCGTGAAGGTCTGCTCGATGCCCTCCGCCTGACAGAAGGTCCTCAAGAGATCGGAGGAAAACTCACCACCTCTGTCAGAGTGCAGACGCAGGACAGGAAGATCCGTCCGGAAACGGCGGCGGAGCTGGAGACGAACTGTGCGGATCCAAGGGATCAGAACAGCAGGGACCTCACCCTTGGTGCGCAAGGGGAAGACCGTGGTGTAACGCGAGTAGTCGTCGACAACCAGCAAAAAGTACCGCTCACCGCCCTGGCCACGAACGCGGGCTGGGCCCCACACGTCCAGGTGGAGGGTCTGCAGAGGAGCCTCTGTCGGGGGGAACGAGGAGGAGTGAGGGGCGGCGCGCTGCCGCCCCTCGACGCAAGGAAGGCAAGGCGGCGCAGGCGAGGCAGGGAGGGGAGGGAGAGACCTGGGAAGACCAGACACAAGGCGGTGACGGTGCATGCCACGGAGGCGTGGCAAGGAGGGGTGACCCAGGCGGTGGTGCCAGAGAAGAGTCTGGTGTGACAGGGAACGACACTCACAGGCGTGGGCCACCAGACCTGACGCGGACACCTGACCGACAGCAGCGACCTGAGGAGACGCAGTGGTCAGTGTGTAGAGACTCGACCCCGGCCGACGAGTAAACGTAGCCAGGTGACGGCCGGTCCTGGAGCACGTGCAGATCGCCACACGCTGTCCTCCAGGGGTAAAGGTGTCAACCCACTGATCCTGGATGACAGCGTTGCTCACCAGGTTCGTCGAGAACGAGGGGAGGTGGAAACCCGACAACGAGCCAGACGGAACCGCCGGACAAGGGAGCACAGTGGTGGACTGGGCAAGGACTGGGCCCCCAGAGGGGTCAGCCAAGGAGACTGGGACCGGTGCAGGAAGCGGTGTGAGCTCAGTACTGTCACGAAAGAAACAGCGGGAAGCACCTGAGTCAAGGGTGAAGGTGTGACAGGCCTCAGCCGGTGCGGTACCTGAGAGAGCAGTCTCTGTGGGTGCTGTACCTGAGAGAGCAGACTCGCAAACAGCCGGGACAGCACTGGAGGGAGCAAGTACAGGGGGCACCATACCGGAGAGAGCAGACTCACTAGTACCCAGGGCAGCGGGCCCTATACCTGGGTCAGGCGGCACACACAAGTAACAGTCTCCCTCGGCACTAACAGTCAATGCATACATGGCAGCAATAATAGCATCATAGTCAAGAGCAAAGATATCAACACCAGCCCTCATGAGCTCAGCCCAGCGGGGGCGCTCAACATCCTCGCCCATCTCCTCACGCCAAGCGTCGTCAAGGCGGGAGAAGCAGCGGTACGGGGTGTGGAACCTCCCACACGTCTGTCCCTTGCGGTCACCTGTGCGAATGACATAGGAACAGCGGCCATTGCCCCCCGACGTCCCACGCTGAGCAAGCCACTCACGAAGCTGCTGGGTCGTCTGGGGACGCTGCTGCTGCTGGGAGCTCTGGCCCGAGCCAGTGCCTCCACTCCGACCTCCGCCACCACCACTACCTCCGCTCCGACCGCCACCGCCGCCGCCGCCACCGCCGCCGCCGCCGCCACCGCCGCCGCCGCCACCACCGCCACCGCTCCCTCCGCCGCCCCCGCCTCCGCTGCCGACCCCACTCCCACCAGCACTCCCGCCACCGCTCCCTCCAGCACCGCCTCCCCCCCCACCTCCCCCACCTCCTCCCCCCCCAGCGCCACCCCCGCCACCCTTGCCCCCCTTGCCCTTGCCGGTGCGGCGCCTCCCACCAGGAGTAGAAGCAGCGCCAGCAGACTCAGCACCAAGGAAGTCAACAGCAGCAGCAGTAGCGTAGGAGGGAGCGAGGGGAGAGGGAGAACACCCCTCAAAGATGGGGGTGCGAGGAGCGCCACGAGCAGCACCGACAGCTACAATGCTCTTTTCGGCCGCTAGCAGCTGCTCCTCTAGGAGGGCGACTGTGAGCTCAGTGGGACAGCGAGCAAGGAAGTGGTCTCGAACTGAGCTGAGGGTGTCAGGGAGTCGGGTGACTATGAAGTGGAGTGTCCAGTACAGTGGAGGGGGGTTCTTAGCGCAGAACTCGGTGGGAAGGGCAGCACGCAGGCGAGCATCACTAGTGCGAAGGTGGGTGATAAGATCGGCGACTGTAGCAAAGGTGGACAGGTCAGGGAACAGGTACGGCAGCATGAGGCGGCTAAGCTCGGCTGTGGCAGGCGAGGAGTAGCGAGCAACGACAGCATCGTACAGGGCCTTAGCGGATTTGCAGTCGCCAAAATGCTCGAGCTCAGCTAGCGGGAGGTGACTGCGAATGGCTAGGCGAGCAGCTGCGTCACGAGTCTGCCAGTGGGAACGAACACTAAGCTCAGCTGTGGCAGGAGGGGCAGGTGCAGCACCAGACGCGTAATCATAGAGCGACACATGCTCCTTGCTATCGCTCAGAAGGAACAGCTGCAGGTCATCCAGCCAAGTGGCGAACTTCACAGGGCGGCCCTCAGCATCGAACGACAGCACGCGGATGGAAGCCATAGTGATAGTGCAACTGAGCAAGGAAGCTGCCGTAGCGCTGCAGGTAGGTAGCTCGGCGGGAAGCGCGGCGGGCGGGCGACTCGGCGAGCGGGCAGTGCGGGAGGGCAGGCGGCGCTGCAGGCGGGAAGTGCGGCGGGCGGGCTGCGAAGCGGGCAGCGGGGCGGGCGGGCGACGCGGCGAGCGGGCAGCGCGGCGGGCGGGCTGCGAAGCGGGCAGCGGGCGGGCGGGCGACGCTGCAAGCGGGCAGCGGGCGGGCGGGCGACGCTGCGAGCGGGCAGCGCGGCGGGCGGGCTGCGAAGCGGGCAGCGGGCGGGCGGGCGACGCTGCAAGCGGGCAGCGGGCGGGCGGGCGACGCTGCGAGCGGGCAGCACGGCGGGCGGGCGACGCTGCGAAGCGGGCAGCGGGCGGGCGGGCGACGCTGCGAGCGGGCGGCTCGGCGGGCGGGCTGCGAAGCGGGCAGCGGGCGGGCGGGCGACGCTGCGAGCAGGCAGCGCGGCGGGCGGGCGACTCTGCGAGCGGGCGACGCTGCGAGCGGGCGGCTCGGCGGGCGGGCGACGCTGCGAGGGGCGCGCGAGGGCGCTAACGAGAGGCGCACGAGGGCGCTAACAAGGGCGCGCGAGGGCGCTAGCGAGGGCGCGCGAGGGCGCTAACGAGAGGCGCACGAGGGCGCTAACGAGGGCGCACGAGGGCGCTACGAGGCTAGGGCACGGGGTAGCGTGGTAACCGCATGCGAGCGGTGGTGGGCCCTTAAAAAAAAAAACGGTCGGTAGGTCCTAGGGACCTCCTGCTCTGAATACCATATCAAAAGAACTAGGCAAGAATGATGCATTGAATGAAACAGTTGGGTACAAGTAGCAAACCCTAGTTGGGGTTGTACCCCATATTGGCTACCCCACTACAGCCTACCAACATATAACACATTACAATTTAACAGGCTGAAATTTCAGGCTTAGGACAAGAAAGTTAGATGAAAAATTAGTATGGGAATGAAAATTTAAACTTTTCAATCAGCCTCGGGGCCTAAAAAAACTCTGAAAATCAGTGTGCAAACCCAAAATCAAGGTAAAATTCATGAAATCTGAGGCCATCCACCCGCTGATAATCAGTCTACATGAACTGCTCCCATGACCTAGCCTGACCTAGGGTAGTTACCCCAGGTGTTGAAGATAACATCGTAGAAATTAAGGCGGAACAGGTGTACTAAAATAGCCAAACATCAGTGAGAAAACATATAGCTACTGCAACTTCTTATGCCAAGTCATATTTAAAATACTAAATCTGTATTCCTTTAACAACGAAAAACACTAGGAGGAGAAGCTCAGCCTTCACAGCATACAATGTACATTGCAAAAAAAAACATCAATCCGTAAAAAACAATTTCAGGAAAAAAAACCATCAATGTAACAAGGTTACCGCCGAGGTGGAGGAGCACCTCGGCCCATCATGCCCATAGGAGCACCCCCATCTGGTGCTGCTCCCAGCGCCCCCCTTGCTGCAGACCTAGCTTTAGCTCGCATTGCCACGGCTCTGCCCCTGCCCACTCCCAGGTTGGACGACCCCTTGCCCTGAGGCACACACAACAATGGGGTGGGATGCATGGAAATTTGAAAAGTGTGAGAACGTGAACAGAGATTGAGAAGGGTGACAGTGTTGTTCGCAAACTGATCCTTTGCTTGCACAACCACGGTTCTGCCCCTGCCCACTCCCAGATTAGATGACCCCTTGCCCAAAACCCCGAAGCACACACAACTAAGGGGTTGGTTGGGGATGCAAGGAGATTAAGCGTGTGTGTGAGTAAGCAAAGACCCCTTGCTGCAGACCGAGATTTGAATCGCATTGCCACAGTCCCACTCCCAGGTTGGACGAACCCTCGCCCCGAAGCACTCTCAAGTTCGAGTAAAATATAAATTTGGGTGCGTGAGTGGGAGTGTGAGTATGTGTGAGTGCGTGGAGTGGAAATAAACGAACGAGGGGCGAGGAGGAAGTGGAGGATAGAGAGGTATGGAGGAAGGTGGGGGATAGAAAGAGAGGAAAACCCACTTTTTGTTCTTTGAAGACAAAAGAAGGCGGAACGCAATATGCAAAGAGGGATAGAGACGAGGAGAGGCGCAGGCATTGAAGGGAGAAGAAAGAGGGTCAGGAGGAGGGCAAGAAGACAGAATGTAGAGCAAGACTTGAAGGGGAAAGGAAGGTGGGGGAGAGAGAGGACTTTTGAGTCGACTCAAAAGTCACCTCGTTACTATGGCACACGAAAAAATGAGGGTGAGGAGGGCAAGAAGACAGGATGTAGAGCAAGAAGACAGGATGTAGAGCAAGATTTGAAGGGGAAAGGAAGGTGGGGGAGAGAGAGGCGAAGAGACAGAGAGACACAAGGAAGAGCATACCTTGAGCTTGGGGTGACTTTTGAGCCGACTCAAAAGAGGCGAAGAGACAGAGAGACACAAGGAAGAGCATACCTTGAGCTTGGGGTGACTTTTGAGTCGACTCAAAAGAGGCGAAGAGACAGAGAGACACAAGGAAGAGCATACCTTGAGCTTGGCTTCCAGTCGTTTGAACATGGGCGCATTCCGTAGCATGTCTGGGATGATGACGAAGCTGCAAAGGGAGGAGAGGAGAAAAGGAGAGAGAGAGAGAAAAAATAAACCGATCAGCTTTCAGGTGTTCAAAAATGGGTGCATTCCGAAGCATGTTAGGGATGATGCTGCAAGAGGGAGGGAGGAAGTGGGGGGGGGGGGGGGGGGGAGGGCGGTGGGAGAGAGAGGAAAGGGTGGCAGGGAGGGCGCAAAGAAAGGGATTGGCTGATCACTTTTCAGGTGTAAAACAAGAGTGAATTTTACAGCAGGCAGGGATGATGAAGAAGTTGCAAAAGTGGGGAGAGGAGATGAGGTGGGGAGGAGGAGGAGATGGGAGATGGAGGGAGCAAAGGAAAAAAAAAACAGCTGATGAAGATGACGATGAAGGCCAGAGGGAGGAGCAGGGAAAAAGGAGAGGGTGATGGAGAGAGAGAATGAAAGGATTAGCTGATTAGCTTCGAGTCGCTAACCACGGGACGCGGGGTAGCGGAGGGGGGAAACGAGAGAGGAATGGGGAGTGTGGGGGGAGGGACAATGCGGGAGAAGGAGGGTGAGGGGGAACGAGGGGGAATGATAAGTGTAGCGAATGGGGGGGGGGGGAAGAAGACGGGGAATCCGGGGAAGGGCATGGGTGGAAAAAAAACGGGGAAAGAGCATGGGGGTTAGAGAATCGGGAGAAGAGCATGGGGGGTAGAGAATCGGGGGAAGAGCATGGGGGGTAGAGAGTCGGGGGAAGAGCATGGGGGGTAGAGAGTCGGGGGAAGAGCATGGGGGGTAGAGAGTCGGGGGAAGAGCATGGGGGGTAGAAAATTGGGGGAAGAGCATGGGGAGTAGAGAATCGGGGGACGAGCATGTGGGATAGAGAATAAAGTAGAGCATGACGAGAAGTGAGCGGGAAAAAGGGTTTAGGGGGTAAAGCGCATGGGTGGACGAGCGTTCGGGGAGGTGCTCGGGGAAAACGCAGATGCGGATGAGCCGATAATGGGGGTTTGACTTGCGACGTGAATGAGTACGCGTTATAAGCAGAAATAGAACTTGGGGTTAAGACAGCAGCGAAAGCGAGAGCAGAGAAGAAAAGGGACAATAGGGGATACAGAGCATGAAGAGCTGATAACGAGGCTTTGACTTGTGTATGAGTACTCGTTATAAGTCAACACTAGGTTCAGGTGAAAACACTTGCTACCAGGTGATGCTTACCGAACGAAGCTCCCCCTTATGAAAACGTGTTCCAGCTGCAATACCTTGCCGTCCTGATACACGAAAAAGGAGAAAAAAAAAACATGGAATTTGGAAAACGGAGTGCTTGGGTGATGGATGGCGATGCGATTCTTGTCGAATCTGCCTCTAACGACGACAAACTCGTGTATGCTAGGTTCAGACGAAGCGAGATAGGTCGCGAGCCTGAAGAGGGCAGAATCGCGCAAACAGGACCGAACCCATGAGGTGACTCAAAATACGTCTCAAAATGAGGTGCGTTCAAAAATCACTACAATCATTTCCCCCATCTGAGCAAACTTCCCCTCCAAGACCGCAGCCAAACCATCCAAGCATCCCCTCCGTTAACGCGTCGGGAAGGAGTTATGCAGCTAATAACGAACAGATCTGGCAGCCATGAACAGCAGGAGAGGATGAGAAAGGCGATATGTGACTGTATCGAGGGTACCTTGGCAGTGAATGTGATGTTATCCATTTGGCAATTCCAGTTATCCTCGCAGTCCGTCAGCGTGCCTCGATATAACTCCCCGTTTTTCAGCTCGATAGTAACAACGTGGCCTTGCGCCTCGTGCAGCAGCTTCACCGGAATCCCCAACGACTTACTCATTTTCTAAACGTGAACGTGCTACAAAAACAAAAAAAAATGTATGTACTTAGCTCAGCCTTTGAAATTCCTACTTGCTGCTTGAGACAGAGGCGAGCACACTCAAATCGACTGGTTCTCGATCAACTGGCGGATCTACGACGTGAAACACGCTGAGTGCTACCAACTACGAAGATTCGCGATACCTACAGTGGAATCCGCTGGTCGTTGACAATCTCAGCCGCAGGATACAGGAGAGCCACAGCGAGAGGGCCGCGATCTCCGAACTGAGCAAACCCTAATCGCTGGCTTGAGCGGGAAACGAAACAAAGATAGCTTGTAAGTTCTGAGAGGACAGGATGGGATTTGTACTCGTGACGGCGAGGGTGTGTCTCCTCACAAGAGCAGATTTCGATACGGTTGGGTGGGATTGGTAGCGTACCAGAGTGGTACGATCTCATTTCGAAAGGTTTTGGAGCAAAAGATGGCTCATCATATCTCTAAAGGGAGTACAATTTTACAGCTAAACCATTTAGGGCAATACATACCTGTACGTACTAAAATGGAGTGAGACAATAAGCAAACTAACAAGGAACCTTCTTGTTTGGCAAATAAATATTATATTTGCCCATTTATTACTCATTTATGTCCCTCGCCCGAGCATCCCGTCAAGTAGATCAAGTTCATCCTCCATGCTGCGTTGGGGTCCCGTACCCTGCCTCCGAAACTCCTTATCAATCTTGAGCAACCTAGTATCCTTTGTCGACGTCTGAACTTCGAAGAAATCCCTTCTCAACACACCCAACTGCGCGACAACATCAATCATATGTGGCCGCGACGAGGCGAGGAGCGACGTGCATTGCAGAGCAAGCTCAACGAGTTTGAGTAGAAGATTTTGAGGCACCGAATCAAAATTGGGGTCTTTGAGGGCTTCTATGTCGTTCGCTTGCATGCGCTTCTCGACCTGGACAGGCGGACAATAGAAGATAGGCAAGCAAGAATGACACACTTCCTGAATTTCTAGTAACAATAGAGAATGGAGCATAGCAAAAAGGAATTTGCGATTTTCAAGGGAACACCTGTGAGAAAAAGTACACATGAAGGTGTAGACCATATACACTTACCCATGAAATGTTAAAAATACCTACACGGCCAGTTACACTGTACTAAAAACACTTACCCAGTCTCGAATGTTGATTCCGCCACTCTCTTGCATCACAACAGGCTTGGTTAGCATGATCTCAAGCATCATCACACCGAAGCTGTTAAAACAGGGGGATAAATTGGACAAGGTAAAAGATGGAAGAAGAAGAAAGTGGCACTAGTACCTTGTGAGAAAAAAAATTCCAGCAAGGAAAACCAGAGTATGTCATCAGGAAGCGCTTGTACGAGCCATTGACGATGCTAACAAGGAGGAATTGAGCAAGCTAGATGTCCTTGATGACAATCACCTTCGCAAGTCGGCCACAAACATGGCCTTAGGTTAACCTGACCCACCTATAAACGTCAGCCATGGGGGTAACCTTGCTGGTGCGCGAGTAAGCGGGGTCCACATAGCCCGGAGTGCCGACCACACGTGTGGGATTCACTGTGGTGCCTTCTGTCATTCGCACCAGCCCAAAGTCTGATACCTTGGGCTGGAGAAGGAGATGGTGGTTGGGAGAAGGAAAGAGGGGTGGTTCAAGAACAAACGCTAGATTTTAGCAAATCATAGTGCAAGAACAACACCAGTTTGCTAACTAACTATAATAAAATGACGTGTTTCCTTGGTGGGTCAGCGCACCCACACCCTCTCGATACGACACCTATAGCTCTTGACGAGACCATTTTGGGCCATTTCAGTGTTCACTTCCAACACTTCCTTCACTAAAGGACACGAAGTCAGCTAACAGTACCAATCCAACCCCGACCCTCTCCATGCTCACCCACTCGGTACGACACCTGTAGCTCTTGACGAGACCACTTTGGGCCATTTCAGTGTCCACTTCCAACGCTCCCTTCACTGGGAGGCACACGAAGTCAGCTGACAGTAGCAATCCAACCCCGGCCTTCTCCATGCCCACCGCACCATGTAGGAATAACTCCAGTTCATTAAGTAACTGGGATAAAACGACATGTTCTTTTGGTGGGTCAGCGCACCCATACCCCCCAGGACGACACATGTAGCCATTGGGGAGACCAATTCGGGCCATTCCAATACGTAGCAGTAAGACTATTCTGCCGCGTGCAATACCCTTTTTCACTTAAAACCTTCTGTCAATGACGGGTTCTCCTGAAACGGTTGATAGGTTTGTATACAAACATCAAGCAGCACGTTTGACTCGCCAGCAGCACTCAACCATCACACCCCCTTTTCCTTTTTCCCCTCCCCTCACCTGCATGCGGGCATCCATCAGCATGTTGGCGGGCTTGATGTCTCAAACCCCCGCACCACACTAACCACAACCACACTAACCACCCAACCACCAACCCCTCATTTTTCCACCCGGACCTGCATGTGGGCGTCAAGCAGCACGTTGGCAGGCTTGATGTCTCGATGCACGATGTCAAACTGGTGGAGGTACTCCAACCCCCGCGCCACCCCCACCAGCACATCCATGCGCTGCTGCAGCGTCAACTCGCCCTTTTTGGGCCCTGCATGGGGAGATGAGGGGGTGGAGTGATTTGTAACAACAATGCACAAAAGGCCTTCGAGAACACGACAAAAAACTGTTGCGATTGTCTCAGAATTTGTAGCTACCGTAAGTACTTGAGTTCAAATGGTTGATTATGTAATGAAGCTAAAAGCTCACAAGTACAAGGAAGATGGATTGTAAACAATGTTAGGAAAAAAAAAAAATTGATTCCAACGAGATTGATTGTAAGTTCTTGTTGGCGATCTATTTTTTTACAGGTGATGATATTTAGGTAAGATTTTTTTTTTTCTTCTTCTTCTTCTTCTTCTTCTTCTTCTTCTTCTTTCTTTCTTTCTTTTCTTTCTTTTCTTTTCTTTTCTTTTCTTTTACCTACGTAAACAAGATCACACAAAAGATATTAGCCCAACAGTTGGATATTGTTTTCTACAACATTCTCATTGTTCACAATTGGCATTTGGAAGCTTTGAACTTCATCAATTTAATCAACCATTTCAGCTCAAGTACTTTCAATTGCAAACTTTATTGAAGTACGTGTCTCACAAAAATGGGGTGTACGTGGAGAATGAAATACGCATAAGGCATTAGCTTAGCATTATCAATACACTCTCATAGAGTGTCCCAACAATGCCTCTTATCCTTAGATGATCCACTCACCGCCACTGAGGTACTTCTCGAGGTCCCCATTGGTGCAGAACTCGTAAATGACGATTTGCTCGTAGTGCTCAGTGGTTGTGTCCATGTCCACACAGTATCCCAGCAGCCGCACCAAGTGCGGATGGCTCTTTGATGCCATCTCCTCCACCTATGGAAGGGAGGTTGGTTAGAGAGGGAGGCGGGCCAAGAAAGGAGGAGACAAGACAAACACGCAGCAGCGAAAGAGGACGAATCGTTGACACCAATTCCTCCACCTGCTCGGATTCACTTCAATCAACGTGTACTTGTGGGAAACTGATGTGCCTGTCCTAGTACAACACGAGTTGATGGAAGTAAGGCATTTGCAGCCCACCTGTCCTCTCTTGACAGCTCCTGCTCGGAGTCACTTCAGCGTGTACTTGTGGGAAAGAGAAACTATAAACAAGAACTCTTCTGCCCAGCCTGCCTTGCTCACTCGCACCACACCCACCTCTCGCTTGAAGTCGTTGGTGAGTATCTTGGCGCGCTTCACAGCCCACACCACCGACGGATCATCGGGACACACCCCCCGATACACCTCGCCATACCCGCCCGTCCCAATGTGATTCGCCTCTGCCCAGTTGTCCGTTGCCTTGGCCACCACATCTAAGGGGTATCGCTGGCACATGAGCGACTGCGTTGGTACAGAGGCTCCTCCCCCTCTCAATGCCCCATCGCTGGGTTTTGGACCACTTGAGGACTCATTTGCTGGGTAGATGGGAGTGGGCAGTGGGCATGGGGAGGAGGAGGGGAGTCAACCACCGCTACGGGGCATCGCTGGCACATGAGCGACTGCATGAGCGACTGCATGAGCGATTGCGTTGGTACAGAGGCTCCTTCCCCCCCTTGATGCTCCATCGCTTGGTGTGGGACCACTTGAGGACTCATGTGCTGGGTGGATGGGTGGGTGGGAGTGGGCATGGGGGGAGGGGAGTCAGGCATTTTCAATGAGCCGAAACCAAAACATGGGCAAATCATGGGGGCATGCTGACAAGCATGAGAACATACTGACAAACCGGTGCTCATCCCTATGACAACTCACCACACCGCACCACACCGCAGCCTACCACTTCACCTTTTTTAGCCCTTCGTTTGCAGAGAAGGAAAATTCCGACAGCGAGGAGAGCAGCAGCTACGCCGACCCCCAGAGCAATCCCTATGATTGCTCCCACAGAGAGGCCGGAGGAGGAAGGAGGAAGGAGGAGGCAAGGGAGGGGGGGGGGGGGGGGGAGGGAGTAACAATAGCTCCCACCTGCAGAGGACTGTCGTTTGCACAGTAGCCACACGCCGGCAGCCAGGAGAGCAGCAGCTAGGCCGATCCCCACAACAATCCCAACGATAGCTCCCACAGACAGGCCGGAGGAGGAAGGAGGAGGAGGAGGAGGCGAGGGGGGGGAGGGTTCAGCGATGGGGATGCAGGAGGGGCAGAACTCGCTGCATTGGTAGCAGAACTGGGAGGAGGCGCTCTGCTTGACCATGCAGGATTGCCCGGCTCCTGTGGGGCATACAGCCCCGCTGTCCAGCACCTCACTGCAGTGCGGGGAGGGAAGGAGGGGGAGAGGGAAGGAGGGGAGGGGTCCGGGAAAGGCCTACTTCTTTAAACTATGTTTCAGAAATCGGTACACTGGTTAGCAGAACTGGGAGGAGGCGCTCTGCTTGACCATGCAGGACTGCCCGGCTTCTGTGGGGCAATGGGCCCCACTGTTCAGCACCTCACTGCAGCCTCACTGTGGAGAGAAGGGGGAAAGAGGGAGAAGGGGGGGGGGGTTCCATTCTGAGGAGGACGAGCTTTGCTTTATCATGCTGAGCTCTCCAGCTCCTGTGGGGCATTCCAAGTGACTTTTGAGGTGCATCAGAAATTCTTCCCATTACCTCCCCTCCCCCCAAACCCCACCCCTCTCCTTGCTGCTTACAGGTTGGTTAGATGCACGAGGCTCCCAAGTGTTGGAGGCACGGTGCCCGAGAGATCGTTGTTGTCGAAGCTTCTGCATGCATGCATGCATGCATGCATGGGGATAGAGCGATGAGGGGTCGAGGGGTAAATGCATGATACGAGTAGGCCGAACCAGGGCTGCCTAGTGTTGGAGGCACGGTGCCCGAGAGATCGTTGTAGTCGAAGCTTCTGCGTGGGGGGAAGAGTAGATCAATGAGGGATGAAACACACCATGATGGGAATCACGGGGCGGATTTGTGATGGGACGTAGCGAGGGCTAACCAATGGTTTTCAAGAGTCAGTCAGAGCCACAGTGCCTGACTGAAAGATCATTGTGATCAATGCTTCTGCATGGGGGGGAATACAGAAGGGGTAAGGGCGTATTCATGGTGACTTTTGAGTCCCTCACAAGAGTCAGGACCACAGTGTCTAAAAGAGCCAGGACCACAGTGCCTAAAAGAGTCAGGACCATAGTGCCTAAAAGATCATGGTGGTCTTTCAGGCACATGCTTCTGTGTGGGTGGGGTGTGCGTGCATGTGTCCATGTATGTATGTAGGTAAGTCTGTATGCTGTATGCATGTGCTCTTACAGGAGTGTGAGCTTGGTAAGATTTCCCAGTTCATATGGGATCTCCCCCGTAAATTGATTCCGCAAAAAAGACCTGCGAAAGAAATGGACAGTACAAAGGAAACTACCAAAATCAGAATGCTTATAAACTTCCAATGATGAGAATGCTTTTGAAAGTCCCATATACGATACAGTTGACATTGGCAGTTAGAGAGACAGTGACATTGGCAGCTATGTGAGAAAGGATTTAAAGCCCATTCACAACATGTTCTTCTAAGGCGCCTCAAACGTAATCTCACTCAACAGTGACATTGGCAACAATCTATGTCGGGAAGGCCTAAAAGCTAACTCGCAGCATATTCAGATTGGTGAGGTTGAGTTTGGGACGTCTTGAAACAAGAAGACACGGAAACTCACTCACAGCATGTAGGCTTTTGAGTCGACTCAAAAGCAAACACGGAAACTCACTCACAGCATGTAAAGATTGGTGAGGTTGGCAAAGGAAGAGGGGATGGGTCCCTTGAAGGTGTTGTTGGTGAAATCGCTGCAAACATGTGAAGGATGTCCAGTCAAGCGGGTATTTGAAGTGAAGGGATGTGAATGGAATGTGGATGATGTAAGTCATAGCCAATACACACATGCCACATGTGAGCAGACCATACATGTGAGCAAAGCAAAGAATGCAAGTGAGCAAACCATACATGTGACCCACACACATGTGACCCACACACATGTGACCCACACACATGTGACCCACACACATGTGACCCACACACATGTGACCCACACACATGTGACCCACACACATGTGACCCACACACATGTGACCCACACACATGTGACCCACACACACATGTGACCCACACACATGTGACCCACACACGTGTGAGGAGCATGTGTACATGTGTGAGCATGCGTACATGTGTGAGCATGCGTACATGTGTGAGCATGCATACATGTGAGAGAGCCTTCCAAGGGAGGAGAGGGTCGTTGGGAGGGTCCCTGTGAGGCGATTGTTGGAAAGCATGCTGGAAGGAGGGGGGACGGGGCGAGGTATGATGGGGAGGGAAAGATACGTACGTATTTGACTATTAGCATGCGTGCGGGTTGACTTTTGAGTCGACTCAAAAGTCAACGCGTGAGAGAGCTTTTCTGAGGATGAGAGGGTTGTTGGGAGGGTCCATGTGAGACCATTGTCAGCAAGCACGCTGGGGGAAGAAGAGGGGGAAAGAGGGTTGTTGGGAGTGTCCCTGTGAGACAATTGTCGGCAAGCGTGCTGGGAGGAGAGGAGCAGAGGGGAGGGTACGGAGGGGAAAGATGGGGCGAAGTACAGTGAGGTGTTGACAATAGGGTGAGGTGTTGACAATAGGGTGAGGTGTTGACAATAGGGTGAGGTGTTGACAATAGGGTGAGGTGTTGACAATAGGGTGAGGTGTTGACAATAGGGTGAGGTGTTGACAATAGGGTGAGGTGTTGACAATAGGGTGAGGTGTTGACAATAGGGTGAGGTGTTGACAATAGGGTGAGGTGTTGACAATAGGGTGAGGTGTTGACAATAGGGTGAGGTGTTGACAATAGGGTGAGGTGTTGACAATAGGGTGAGGTGAGGAAGTGAGGTGAAAGAATACGAAGAAGGTGAGAAAGCGAGGTGTTGAGAATAAGGTAACGAAGCTGGGAATAGGAGAGGAAGGGAGGCAGGGAAAGAGTGGAAAGGCAAGAAGCATGCTCATATGCCATCAGACGCCATCACAATAAAAAGGAAGGGGTGCGCGCGAGCCAGGGTGTTGTGTTGCCTACACGTGTTGACCTTTGAGTCAACTCAAAAGGAAGGGGTGCGCGCATGGGTGTGCAGATGGGTGCGCGCGAGCCAAGGTGTTGTGTTGCCTACACGAGTTGCACGCTGGTCGAACTTCTAAAACACAGAAAGAGAACTTTTGAGACGTCTCAAAAGAACAATGCAAGCCTCCAATTTCCAAGCCACGATGTTGCTTACACGTTTCGCAAGCTGAATAGGTTGCCAAACTCCGAGGGGATGGATCCGCTGAACTGGTTCTGCGCAATGTCGCTGCAGAATAGCGGGGGGGGGGGGGACAGGACAGGACAGCGTGCCGTTGCTTAGAAGGAGTACAGATATGTGGTAAGAGGGTTCAATGCATATTGATCAAGTAAGTAGGTTAACCCACTTTAGATTTCATTCACTGAGATTTGCTTGCGTACAGGTTCATATACAGTGAGCAACAGCTTACATGGAAATTAATCTTGTGAGAGATGCCAGGGCTGGAAGGACCTCCCCTCTGAAAGAATTCCTGCGCACCTGGCTGGATCACAAGGCAGAAGATAGAGCAACGAGAATAATTTACCTTGAGACATCTCAAAAACTGAGCACGGCATGGCACGGCACGGCACGGCACGGCACGTCACAGCACCGCACAGCACAGCACAGCACATCACCACAGCATACATACAAGTACTGCAGCCTGGAAAGGCTAGAGATGGACGGCGGAATGACTTCCGGTGAATGTATGTATGTAATGTATGCGTGGTGTGTGTACGTATGGCTTCTTGCAGCACTTTCTGTGAGTGTCAGCACAGCACGGCACAGCAGCACACATACAAGTACTGGAGCCTGGAGAGGCTAGAGATGGACGGCGGAATGGCTTTCGGTGGATGACCTTCGAGACGTCTCAAAAGTGGTATGTGTACGTACGCTTCGTAGCAGCACTGTGTGTGTGTGTGTGCGCGCGTGTGTGTGTGCGTGAATGTGTGTGTGTGTGTCTCAGCACAGCACGGCACAGCAGCACACATACAAGTACTGGAGCCTGGAGAGGCTAGAGATGGACGGCGGAATGGCTTTCGGTGGATGACCTTCGAGACGTCTCAAAAGTGGTATGTGTACGTACGCTTCGTAGCAGCACTGTGTGTGTGTGTGTGCGCGCGTGTGTGTGTGCGTGTGTGTGTGTGTGTGTGTGTGTGCGTGTGTGTGTGTGTGTGTGTGTGTGCGTGCGTGTGTGTGTGTGTGTGTGTGTGTATCTCAGCACAGCACGGCACAGCAGCGTACATACAAGTACTGGAGCCTGGAGAGGCTAGAGATGGACGGCGGAATGACTCCTGAGAGCTCATTGTAGCTGAGGGACCTGCAGGTCAGAGCGGGAGGAGGGAGGAGGAAATTAAGATGCTTGAGGCGTCTCAAAACACGGCGTCACAGCGGAACGACTCCTGAGAGCTAGCTGAGGGACCTGCAGGTCAGAGCGGGAGGAGGGAGTAGTGAATTCTGACACTTCTCAAAACATGGGGAGACATGGACAGTGGAATGACTCGTGAGAGTGCAATGTAACTGAGGGACCTGTAGGTCACACAAACAGTGACAGTGACAGACAGGCAATGAGGGTGGCTGTAATGTAAGTGAAACAGCAAACAAGAGGAGGCGGATAGGGAAGAAGGAGGGATGACTCCAGAGAAGAACCGATTGTAACCGAGGGACCTGCATACGACTGCGAGGGATGGAGACAAACGGTTAACAATAGAGGCAATCTCTGGATTTCCAAAGTTAACTCAAGCTGGTGCTCCAAATTCTTAAGAAATGGTATGTGCGAGTGAGCCGATGGCTGCTACTTACATAAATGAAAGTTTGCAGAGCGAAGAGAGAGGGGCAGGATGGGTGCACCTTTTGACTTGACTCGTAAGTCACCCCCCTTACAGGAATGTAAGATTGTTGAGCGCAGAGAAAGTGGCAGGTAGAGCGCCTGTGAGGGTGTTGTTACCAAGGTTGCTGCTTGGGGAGCGATGCATATGAAAGAATGAAGACGTAGAGATCAAAATTGTGACTCCCACTATGAGTTGAAACGACTACAAGGGATAAAGACAAGTGTAAGTCACAAAGTCAAGTGTAACGACTTGGCTACAAGGTCTGGTGGCCGCAGAGAGCTGGCCGATGCTGGCGGGAATGGACCCTTTCAGATACCATACCGCTTTGTACCACACACCACCGCTCTTTGTACCACACTCTGGCCCTTTGCAACTCCTCCCCTCCCTGCTTCTCACAGCGTCTGCAAGCGTGAAAGCTGGCCGATGCTGGCGGAAATAGACCCTTCCACATACCATACCGCTTTGTACCATACCCCCGTGTATCCTCTCCCCTTCCGCTCCCTCGCAGCGTCTGCAAGCGTGAGAGCTGGCCGATGCTGGTGGGAATGGACCCTGTCAGATACCATACCGCTTTGCACCACACCATATTGTACTGTACTGCTTTCCAACTCCTCCCCTCCCTGCTTCTCACAGCATCTGCAGGCACGAAAGCTGGCCGATGCTGGCGGGAATGGTCCCTTTCACATACCATACCGCTTTGTACCACACAATTTTGAGCCGCACCACACCACCACACCACTTTTAACCTGCTCCCCCCCCCCCCCTCCCTCACAGCGTCTGCAGGCGCGAAAGCTGGCCGATGCTGGCCGGAATGGTCCCTGTCAGAGCGTTGAAGCTCAGATTTCTGGGAGTATTGGGTGGAGAAGAGGGGCGTTTTCTTTTAGGCGCCTCAAAACTCGCCAAGGCAGGCGCGAAAGCTGGCCAGTGCTGGTGGGAATGGGCTCTGACAAAGAGTTGAAGCTCAGATTGCTGGGCGGGTGGATGGAGGGGAAAGAAGAAGGGGGGAGAGAGGAGAAACGAAAGGGGAGGAATGGAAGGACAGGAGAAGGAAGGAGCAGAGATAAAGGCGGAAAGGGGAGGGAGGCGGATAGGGAAGAAGGAGGAGGGGAGGGAGCGGGGGGTGCGGGGGCAAAGGAGGGACCAGAGGTGCGCAGGGGCGGTAGGGGTGAGAAGTTGGAGTTAAGGGGGAGAGAAAGGAGACGGGGTGTGGGGGGAAGGGAGGGGCCAGGCTAAGGATGCGCAGAAGGGGCAGGGGTGAGAAGAGGGGGCAGATGGGGAGAGAAAGGAGAGGGGGTGGAGGGGAGAGGGAGAGGGGGGGACGGGAAGGAAAAGGAGGAGCGGGAAGCAGAGGATAAGGGGAGGAGAGAAAGAAAGGGGTTGCAGACACACAGCAGCAGCGAGTATGCTTCACGAATCATGCTGCACTCACATTATAACGAGTGTTGTGAGCTTGCCTATTCCGGAGCAGATGCTTCCGGTGAGATTGGAGCTGTGAAGATCACTGCAGGAGGGTAGAATGGGGGACGGGAGCATACAATAATTGATTTCAGTATCGGTGCAGAAAGATTTGATCTGTGAAGTGAAGATTACTGTAGGAAGGCCGTGTGTGGGGGGAAGAGAGCATATAAAAAGCTGCGGGACGCAGCATTGCAGGAAAGAACCACTTTTTTTTATAAGGCTTGGTAGATACTAGAAGGAAGATTGGGAAGGGAAAAATTAGGGTGGTGGGGAGAGGAGGGCAGGTGGGGGGATGTGAGTGCAATAAGCATCACGGCCTACTGCTTATAACGCGTACAGCTTAATTCCCCCATTGTACGTCACGCAAAATTGTGAGTGTTCTGTCCAGGTTATGCCCAGCTGAGCCCCACGTTCACTGTGCACTGTACAACATGGCACAATGCTTATAACGAGTACAACCCCATCATTCAGTGTGAACAACTCACATGGTGTTGACTGTGCCGTCTTTGTTACAACGTAACCCCACCTCCATCCCACATGTAGTAGCGTTGCTCCAAGTGTTACCCTTTACACCCATCTCCACCGCACACTGCTCCAGTATTTCACCTGCACACACGCAGAGGGGTGGCAATGGTGAACCAGGTTCAAGGTTTGAGAAAACCGTAATAAGTTTTATAATGTAGTATTTTACAGTTGTTCAAAAGTGAGCCAGCCTGCTGGCACAAGTCTTACTACAGATATGTGCGATACAGACACATGCAATGCAAATACAAGTGTACGCGATACAAGAACAAACCTTGAACAGAGTTCACAAGAGTGGCGGCCAACGAAATCGACGCATCGTGGCAAAACGCGATGAAGCCAAGGACCAGCAGAAGTAGCATCGGCAGCCGCCGCCATGGAGAAATCACGAACGTCGCCTGAAGGTGGTGGTAACCTCGCGAGGGGAGCCGCGGCGAAGGATCCTGCTGTTCGCGAACCCGGGAGGGCGTCGCCGCCATTCGCGAAGCGTCGCACGGACCAAGGGCTAACAGCTGAGAGGAATGCGTATCGATGTCTCGGATTATGACCAGGAAATGCGTATCGACGTCGAGGCTAACTGAAGAGCGGACTTTTGACCAGGGGAAGTGCTATCTAACTGAAATGCGTATCTATGGCTCAGACGCATGCTGACATGATCAAGTGTTGCGCCGATATGAGGCTTCTCAGAAGCGTATCGCGGATGGTTGAGGTGGCTCAGAAGCGTGTGTGTCGACCTGTGGTAACCTAGCGAGAATATTGTCGCCTAGGGTTGTCGTCCCGCAGAGATAGTCTCCTAGGTCTCGTCGCCTAGCCATCACCTACGGTTGTCGCCTATGGGTTGTCGCCTACTGGTTGTCGCCTACAGCTTGTCGCCTACTTGTCGCTTAAATATTGTCGCAACAGATTGTCGCAGCACGAGACTCTAGCCTATTGTCGCATACAGGCGGTTGACAGGAATCGCGCGTCGGGTAGAGAGGGCGAGCGGCATTACAATGCACGTTAGTTCATGCGAGTGCTGCGACGCTGGCCCGCAATAATCGCATTCGGGAATCGCACACCCTATTGTACTGCTTAGCTTGAAAGACACGGTGAGGAAATGAAACCGAACGATTCGCGTCATAGAGTCAAAGACTATCGGCACTACAACTATGTCAGATGGAGACTATCCAGCGACCAAAATCCTGCAACGCCGTATGGTACGGACACCGTCGGCAAACCTTCTGGAAACCGCATCTCAAAACGCGTACGATACCGTTCACAGGCGCCGGCCCGACGGTCGCCGAAAACTTTCACGGGCTGGACAGTATGCAAAGCGTGGCGGTGCAGCGGCATTCGCGGCGACGTGGCGGTGCAGCGGCATTCGTGGCGAGTTCCTTCTGAACGTATGTGTGCTCATAATAATTGCCATGGAGAATCTCCGTGCGACGACTTCCTCATCTGCTGGGCGAAAACAGTTGGTGTAACACTCAACCACGACACCGACTGCTACACTGGACTCGGTATAAAAGGTACAAATACAAAAGTTAAGACTGAGGCGTAGTTTTACAACATTAGACAAGATGAAATCAGGACATTCTCATATTACTATATGATTAAGTCTAATCATTCATTGACTCCTACTCAGCGAGCCACCCCATCAAGAAGCTCAAGCTCCCAGGTGCATAGTTCCTCCCAACCACTTCATCAATCTTGAGCAGCCTCAACTCATTTGTCGACGCCTCACCGCCGCCGAGCAACTCCATTCTCATCGCACCCAACTGCGCAACGATTCCAGCCAGCGATTGAGACAACATGTAATTGACAAATCCACCGCGCCTCTCGGTAAGAAGATCCAGCAAATCATCCATGGTGCGTGCGGCGGGTACATAAAACCTCCCAACCTCTTGATCAATCTTCAGCAGCCTCGACTCCTTTGTCGACGCCTTGTCAAAACAATATAATGTTTGTGTTGTGTAGGTTGTAGTAGGGTAGCCCATAAGGGGTACAAACCAATTAGGGTTAGTACTTGTACTCTGTCTTGTTCTCAATGCACCCATTGTGCTACCTACCGAGCACGCCCTGCCCTGCCATGCGTTGCACCGCCCCACGCACGCCCTGCCCTGCATCACGTCGCCCCGCGCACGCCCTGCCCTGCGTCGCGCCAGGGCTTCTGATTCGTTTTGGGGCACCCTTTGTAATCAGGGTTCTAGGTGTAGTCAACCCTGACGTGTAGGGTAATTTTTTTTCCCTGAGAAAGACAGTGTAACATTTTTCCTAGGCTGAACCCGTCAGACTAATTTTGGCCTTAAACTGAATTTCCCAGCATATCTATTTTCACACTAGCATATGGCACTACATCAACAATACAAACAATATGTGCATTGCACATTCCAACACCTGCATCTACCTCTCATTTGCCACAAACAGGGTCAAAAGACTCTACAACGTCTTCGGCAAAAATAGCCTCACCAAGGTTTGTGCCACTAAAGTCCTTAGTTGATCTCCGCAGCTTCTCTCCCCGGAAGATGGACACCACCTTGTACCAGTCCACCTCGTACTGCACCAACTCCCCGTTTTTCAACTCGATAGTAACAACGTGGCCTTGCGCCTCGAGCAGCAGCTTCACCGGAATCCCCAACGACTTACTCATTTTCTATACGTAAATGTGCTACAAATAAATAATAATAAAAAAAAATGTCCTCAGCTCAGCCTTTGAAATTCCTACTTGCTGCTTGAGACAGAGGCGAGCTCACAAAAGTCAATCGTTTCACAATCAACCGGCGGATCTACGACGTAAAACAATCACGAAGTCACCACACATTCTAAGCACAAGCAAATGGCCACAAGGCCAGTTCACATGCAGAGTTATACAACGGAGAACAAATAGTACAGTGATAAAAACCTTGCAAGTGTAAGCATGCAGGTATAGGTATATATAGATCACAGTACAAGCAAAGTCAAGCAGTGAGCAAGTGAGACAAAGCAGGCACAAGGCCTAGAGCAGTACAGAAACGCTGATGATCACCAGGCGGAAGTGCCTTGGTGAATATATCACCAGTGCTCGTGTGGCCACGTAAGCAAGACGAAGCTGACCACGCTGCTGCAACTCTTGAGCAAGGAAGTAACACAGAGCGATGTGCTTCGTTCTGTGCTCCAGACTGTGCTCCTCACACAAGGCGATAGCGGCCTTGTTGTCTACATACAGAACTGGAGGAGAACAAGGCCGCTCTCCCAAGTCGGTCAGCAGGTACGTGAGCCAGCGTAACTCCTGTGCAGCCATGGCACCTGCGTAGATCTCAGCCTCACAACTGGAGCTGAGAACAGAAGACGAGCGGGTAGACCGCCACGAAACAGAGCCAGAGCCAAGGCTGAAGGTGTAACCCTGTGACGACCGCTGTGTAGCCAGGTCGTCAACCCAAGACGCATCTCAGTGACCAGTGAGAACAACTGAACCCCGTCCTCCAAGCACGAGCCCCATGCCCGATGTACTGCACAAGTAGCGTAACACCCTCTTAGCGGCCTCCCAGTGCTCTGGTCGGTGTCTCCCAGGTACAACGTAGCGTGCCAGGATGCTAAGAGGGTACGCAATATCAGGTCGAGTGTAGGTCATCAGGTACATGAGGCAGCCCACAAGCTCTGGATATGGGCCACTCGGCTCTACGGACTTGTCCGAAGGTGGAGCTGAGAGCGAGTGATCGGTAGGCAGAGGAGTGGACTGAGACGAGGAGAACCGGAAGCCGAAGCGCTGAAGGACCTGCTGCACCATGTGTGACTGAGTCAAGGTGATGGTGCACCGTGCTCTGTCCCGGGTGATCTGCAAGCCAAGATAGCTGCGCAGCTCACCCAGGTCTATGCACGTGTGTCTCTTCTGCAGCTCCGACTTCGCAAGGGCCAGTGCCACAGGGTCAGCGGTGGCAAAAACCAAGTCGTCGACGTACACGAGGATGTAGAACGGTGGCAGCGAAGTGTCGGTGCGCAGAAACAACGACGGGTCAGCAGTCAAAGGAGCAAACCCAAGAGCCGCAAGTGTCGTCCTCAGTGTGTCGTACCACTCACGAGGCGCCTGGCGGAGACCGTAGACCGGCCGCCGGAGGCTCCACTGGGTACCTGCAGGAAACGACCCAGTGAAGCCAGGTGGGCGGCGTAGCCAGATCTCCTCGTGCAGGCTGCCTTGTAAGAAAGCTGTGCTGAAGTCAAGGGAGTGAAGCTCGTAGTCACGCTGAGCGGCAACGTGCAGCAGCACCCGAAGAGTGATCATCTTCGGGGTAGGGGAGAAGGTATGGAAGAAGTCAACTCCCTGTCGCTGACTAAAGCCTCGTGCGACGTAACGAGCCTTGAAGACAGGCGGAGAACCCGACGGCCGCTTCACCCTGAAAATCCACATGCCATCAACTATGTTCGCCCCAGGAGGGGGAATTGCCTCGACAAAAGTGCCTATGGACTTCCAAGATGCCATCTTTGCGTCCATGGCTGTCTGCCACTGAGAGGAGCAGGGACCCGTAATCGCCTCTGCGTAAGAGCGCGGGGTCGGGATGTCCAGTGCATCCGGGTCTCCCTCAGGTGCAAGCAGCATGGCCACCAGATGAAGTACAACAGCTGCAAGACACTCAAAGTCCTCCTGCCTGTCCTCAAGGACGTCCGTGCCAAGAGCACACTCATCCCCGACGGACGGAGGACAGACAGACTCAGACTGAGCAACAAGACTAGCAGCGTAGTCTAGACGACACGCAGCAAAATCCACAAGCTCAGCGACTAAGGCAGACGTATCAGTGGATTCAAATGAAGGGTCAGTGACAACAGTGGCTAGGAGACGCGTGACAGTAGGGCTGGCAGCACGAACCAGGTCAGACTCAGGGTCCGGAACGTGCGGAAGAGAGGACGCAGGAGGAGACGGCAGGGAGCACGCTGTGGAAGAGAGGAAGAACGAAGTTTCATAGTGTGAGTGCCAAGGACAGGAGGAGGACGCTGACGAGGAACACGGCGGCCAGTGTGAACAGCGCGAACAGGCGAGGCAGGACGAGACGCAGGCTCACGATGCTCTGTAAGCGAGTCTGTCTGCTCAGGGTAAGGAGAAGGAGCAGGCAGTGGGGAGCCTGGCTGTAACGGGAGGCCAGTAGAAGATGGGAGGCTAAGAACCTGGCGAAGCACGGAGTCAGGCGGTGGCAGAGACGACGGTGCCAGTGGAGCGAAGAACAGTCGCCGCTGTGCAGTACCACCAGCACCAGCTCCTCCAGCACCAGCACCTCCAGTACTAGTACCAGCAGCTCCAGGGCCTCCAACAGCTCCAGAACCCCCAGCTGCAGCGCCTACAGCTCCAGCGCCTCCAGCTCCAGCACCTCCAGCTCCCGGGTCACCAGCTCCAGCTCCTCCAGCTCCACTACCTCCAGCTCCAGAGCCCGCAGCACCACCAGCTCCGGCAGCTCCAGCACCTCCAGTACGAGCACCTCCGGGACCAGTAGCTCCAGCACTACCAGCACCTCCAGCACCACCAGCACCACCAGCTCCGGCAGCTCCAGTTTCTCTAGTACGAGCACCTCCGGGACCAGCAGTGCCAGCACCACCAGCACCTCCAGCACCAGCAGCACCACCAGCTCCGGCAGCTCCAGTACCTCCAGTACGAGCACCTCCAGGACCAGCAGCTCCAGCTCCAGAGCCTCCAGCTCCAGCGCCTCCAGCTCCAGCGCCTCCAGCTCCAGTGCCTCCAGCTCCAGGGTCTCCAACTCCAGGGTCGCCTCCAGTTCCAGTGCCTCCAGCGCCAGCGCCTTCAGCGGTAGGGCCTCCAGCTCCAGTAGCGCCACTCCGAAGGCGGGTACGTCGCGCAAACCACTCACGCAGCTGCTGTGGTGAGAGAGGCTCTCGCCGACTAGACTGCGGTGGCGAGTCACCTGTAGGACCTCTAGGACCTGTAGCTCCAGCACCCCCAGTACCTCCAGCTCCAGCGCCTCCAGCTCCAGTGCCTCCAGTGTCAGCGCCTCCAGCTCCAGGGGCGCACATGCGGCGCAACGCAGGGCAGAGCGCTCGCGGGCAGCGCAATGCGGGGCAGGGCGTGCGCGGGGCGGCACAACGCAGAGCAGGGCAGAGCGCGCGCTAGGCAGCGCAACGCAGGGCAGGGCAAGGCAGCGCGGCAGCTAGCAGGGCGGCACGCGGGCAGGGCAGCGCAATTGGTGGGGCAGCGCAACTGGTGGGGTAGCGGGACGGGCAGAGTAGGGCGCTACGAGCAGGGTAACGAGCTATGGGCAGGGAACTGTACGGTGGGCACTAAAAAAACGGTCTTGGAACAGGACCTGCTCTGATACCATGTCAGAAGAATAAGCGAAAATAAATGCATTGACTAGAGAAGTGGGTACAAATGTTAACCCTAATTTGGGTTGTACCCTTTATGGGCTACCCCACTACAGCCTACACAGCACAAACATCATTATAGTTTGACAAAACAAACAAAGCTTGTAAATTCCGAGAGGACAGGATGGGATTTGTACTCGTGGGCGAGGGTGTGTCTCCTCATAAGAGCAGATTTCAATTCGGTTGTATGGTATTGGTAGCGTGCCAGAGTGGTACGATCTCATTTCGAGAGGTTTAGAGCAAAATATGGCGAATCATATCTCTAAGGAAAGTACAATTTTAAAGTTAAACCGTTTAGGACAACTGAACGTACCGTCATCGCCCGGGTAGTAGACAGCGTTGAACAGTAGACAGCGGTTGTCTATTATCCAGGTGTCTGTCAAATATTATAGCCTGTAGTGGGTTGGGCTATATGGGGTACAACTAGTTAGGGTTAGGTTATGTACCCCAATTCTGTCAATGCAACACATTCCGCTGTAGTTCTCATTCAGACATGGTATCAGCAGTAGGTTAGCGCTCCTAGCCCTAGGCCCGCCCGTCCCTACCATTAGGGTTACCACTGCGCCCCGCCAGCCCGCCAGCGCCCTACCCCACGCCCCAGCCGGCGCGCCCCTCCCCTCCCCGCCCTTAGCCAGCGCGCACGCCAGCCAGCCAGCGCGCCAGCCAGCCAGCGCGCCTGCCAACCAGCGCGCTAGCCCGCCAGCCAACCAGCGCGCCAGCGCGCCGGCCAGCCTGCGCGCCAGCCCGCTTGCACGCCAGCCCGCCAGCGCGCCCGCCAGCGGGCACACCAGCGAGCCCGCCAGCTCGCCTGCCAGCGCGCCCGCCAGCGAGCTCGCCAGCGCGCCCGCCAGCGAGCCCGCCAGCGCGCCCGCCAGCACGCACGCCAGCGCGCCCGCTAGCGCGCCCGCCAGCGCCCCGCGCCAGCGGGCCCCGCCGGCGCGCACGCCAGCGCGCCGCGCCCGCCAGCGCGCGCCCTGCCTAGCCGCCCGCCAGCGCGCCGCGCCCGCGCGCCACGCCAGCCAGCGCGCCCCGCCGCCCCGCGCCCAGCCAGAACGCGCCCCGCCTGCGCGCACCCGCCTCGCACTCACCTCCCTCTCCTCCTCCTCTCGCGGCTGGCGGCCGCTATCACTTGTTCTCGCCCCTCATGGCGACGTCTCGCGTGCTCCTCCTCCGGACTCAGCTCCGGCTGTGTTCCCTCGTTCTCAGTCTCCTCCGTCTCCCGCTCCGTCTCCCACTCCTCTCTCCCACACTTGGGCCTCTCGTCCTCCTCGTGCTCGTCCCTCGTCACCTGTCCGTGACCTTCGTACC